CACAGCCCAGAAGACCCACACCAGCCATCGTATGCCGGCCGTGAAAGCCTTCGACAATACCAGGAAGTTTTCTTGGCAAGATTTTTAGAAGTGGTTTGTCCTTCCTCCTAAGGCTGAGAGAGAGTGACTGGCCCAAGGTCACTCAGCTGGTTTTGTCCCAGGACAACTCATGGTCTCCATGAGTTTCTAGCCTGGTGCCTTAAGCACTGCACCAAACTAGCTTGCTTATGTTAAGTAACCTGACTTATAAGAACCACATACGATAATGGTAAATTATTTCAGCATGTCCTGAATCTCTCCTCCCTACTGAAGATATAGCAACGTGTCTATTCAATCATTTTGATAAATATCTTTTTACTGAAAATTTTTAAAAAACAATAATAAACGACAATACAAACTAAACTCAGAAAGGAAAAGAAAAAGAGAGAAAGAGAGAACAGAAAGAAATAGAGAGAATTCATTTTGGATTTAGTTATTGGCTTAGGTTACAAGAGATAGCAGCACCTAATCGACCTTGGCTGATTTCAGAAGAGTGAAGCAGGATGTCACCTGGTTAGTAGTTGGATTGAAGCCCACTAGAAATCCCAGGGCTATCAGTTAGACTGAGAAGTCCAAAAATCATCTCAGAAAGCACTGGCAAACCACTTCTGTGCTGTTGTCAACTGCTCCCCTATTCCCCCCTCCCCCCAGTTAAGGACTAGCCAGTGTTGTCACCAGGAACTTGATTTGAGTATGATTTTATTTAGACTTCAGTAGTGTGAAGAACTATTTTAGATTGGAAGGTTTGCAACTACCAACACCCCCCACTCCAGACTTAATATTTAATCACAATATACTTTGATGGTTCCCTTCATGTTAAAAATGATTTCTACATGGTATCTGAAGGAATGAGATTCAAGCCCCTTAAGGACAAGAAAAGCTGGGTGGCATTTTGGATTTATTTTATAGGCAGATGGAAGAGGTTGCTACAGTTTCCTAAAATTCACTAATAAGTTCTAGATGTTACATTTTCAAAACTAGGATTCCAATTATGCTTATAACTGAGCTTTCAGTCTATTTAACAGGTAATGAATGCTTTTTCTTTAGGAGTGGCAGAAACTATGCTGAATTCTGAAGCTCTCAATTTAGGACTGAGAAGCAAGAAGGTAGTAACAAATGTTACTTAAGTATGAACAGCAAGAGATGAAAAGGTCCAAACACAATAAATAATTCTGGGCATGCTCTGATTTCATGAAATCAAAACTTCTCTCTTTGCATTATCTAGAAAGTTAATTATTAATGGCTAAAGGCTGACACTATCCACATATTCCTTCATATCACTAATACCACTTCAATGCTCAGGAAAGGATTTTGTCAAATCAGATGACCACTAGACACAGAGAAGAACCTAAACTTGTTTTGTCAGGAAGGAAACATCAGGTGGTCTCGAATCATCTCATGACCTTTTTCTTATCAACAAGAGTTCAGATATACGGTACTCTGGTACTGCCCCTCTTTTCTCCTTGAGATGGACCTGGAAAGGATGTTTGCATGCTTAATGGGAAGACCGGACAATGTCCCTCCACAGATAGCTGTGCTAAAGTGCTTAGCTGGTGTTTTTCTCAAAGGAGTCATACAGAAAAACGAGAATTATAAAATCTAGAGTTTGCAGCATTCACAACTCCACTACTGCTTTCCACTGCAACGCACAGTCTTGGGGGCTTTGTGAAGTCTAGGATTAGACCTTCAACTCACCTATCAGCACGGTGATGTTGACGATTTTCAATACTGCGTGCACCAATGTATCTGGTTTGAGCTGACTTAGAAGAACATGCGGAACGTGGTCCAGACTCTGCCTTTGCCTCTGAGGGAGCGCTTGAAGAGGGGCATGCTTTGCAGAAACGTATGTCAGCAAATCCTGGAGAATATTACTGTCTACTAGATGTGAGACTTGGGGGGGGCGGGAAGAGAGAAGTGCTAACAATTACCTCACCTTTGGCTATGGAAGTTGCGTATTTGTTCTGTTGGCAGTTCTGCACCAAATATTATGAGCAAATGGAATTAGCCATACGTCTCTGATATAATTTTGTTAATACAGAGATAACAGATAGTATTTCAAACGAGAAGATCAGCAAGGGAACATCATCCTGCTCCAAATACCAGCTTAGGGCTCCCTGCATTTCTGAGGCCTTGAAGAACTGGGCTTCTCCTTCTTACCCATCCCACCTATCTATGTCTAACCTTTTAGCGTGTAATTTTGATTGTGAAGCCTATCTCATTATTACTGAATTTGAAGGGACCCTAGCATATGGGCCCTCTTCTTCTAGCAGGAAGCCCCCTCAATCAACTTCCTCAACAGAAAGAATGCATGGACACGATCAACTGTTCCCAAGGCTCAGAGGCCAGACTAAGAAAGTGGGATGAACAGCAGTTTCTCATATCAGGTAAAAACAGATTTTACTGAACCCTAGGTATGTCTCATCCTTAAAAAATCCAAAGGCTAAGACTGCTTTTAACATTCAAATATTCCCTCCACATTACATCATTTAATTAACTTGGGAAAAAATACTTGTATTAGTAAAAGCTGCAACACATTAATGACTTGATAAACACTGAGTATAAATCAGTGACCTATCCTTGGGACAAGATTCCTCTGCATGTACTTTGTTAATCCTCACCTTCCTTCTGATTAATAGTTGAACAGCTTCCAAGATTCAACAGTCTGGTAGTAAATGTTGACTGCAACATCATTTCTCCAATCCAGTGGTTCTGATAAACAATGACGTCTGCAAGGAAAAGACAAACGAGGTCTATCAACGGAAGATCACCCAAGAGCTGTACTTGCATCGGATGCTGTTTATTCTTAGGGTTTCCACCAGACAAAGAGGTTGAGTGCGCAAGAGTACTGGAAAATGAAACTATGGCTTTCAAAACCATTTATGCCTCTATTAGATCAATAGCAAACCCCAGTAAAATTAACAATGAGTGAAATTTCAAGGGGACTCATTTCATAACAAAGATTGAATAGGCTGAATGTAGGCAATCCATGTTTCTGAGAGGTAAAAAGGAATTATAGACCTGTTCTCTCTTTCCTGTCCCATTATGAGCATACTCTCAAAACTAGAATCAGAAACTCATTTCAGCTTAGAAGGTGAATGGTAAAGCAATAGTTGTCCATTGCAATATCATGCCAAACTGTAGATAGAGTTAAACTGCAAACTTAAAGTGAAACCACGCCCAAGGGAAGAGCTTTCCCAAATCCTGGTCTGGAAAACCCTTAAATGAGCACATGGCAAGAGAAAGAAGGAAAATGAACTGACCAAAAAGCTTGTGCTCCAGCTTAAACTGTCCTGAATGAAGGCAAATCAGAGAGATACAAAACAAAGTGTGGGACAGCTTCCACACATATATATATATACAAATATAATTCCACAGGCGCTTCCTGGATTTCCATATGGCTATGGGCATATATCTCATTTTGTTCCATACTGTTCATGTAATTCTCAGAATCTTTTTATTTTGCACTTTTTCATCTGCGCTTACAGAAGAATGCCTCTGAAATATAGAGGCACAAGAGGGCATCTGAGAGTCAACAGAAACGTACATGGAATGGGTCTGTTTGTATGATCTAAATTCTGCACATAGTCACGTATAAACCAACATAACCATAATGAAGGACACCATTTTCTGGTGGCTGGATAATCCCACCTTCTAAAAATATTAATGCAGTTGTACCACACCTCACCATGCTTCTGTTAAAGAGCAATGTCAATCGAAACATTTCCAGGTCATATTTACAGTTTTCTCAAAGATTATGACCTGGGTTTTGTTTAAACAGCACAATAATTGAAAACTAAGCATGTAAAATATCCCTCTTACAGATGGAAATGTAACTGTTTTACAGACTCACCTGTGAATAGTACGATATCTCCAGGAAAGACCGTAAGTGATAAAAATGCTGCGGCTCTCCACAACACAACCTTCCGTTGCATGGCCGACTGATCAGAAACGACAACTGTGGCTAAGGGGACTTTGGAGGATGTTGTAGTTCCTAGCTTGATTTCTTTGATGTGACAAGGATGCAGCACTATGACCAAGATGGAGTACTTCTGGCCTTTGTCAACACAGCGTTTTAGCAATGACAGTTGCTTTTGAGCTTTTTTGATTCTTGGGATCCTCATTTTTTCAGTTTTTTGTACTGGGCAAACTGGAGAACAAACTAATTTGGTTCTTTTGGATTGCTGCTGATCTCCAAAAGTAACATGAGAAGTAGTTACATTATCTTCAGAAGCGTGAGTCCTTTCAGCACAGTGGTCTTCTTGAGAACATAGCAGTCTTTTCTGCCGGGGTTTAAGGTGGTGTCCTTCTTTATCAAGTTTAACAGGTGAATATAGAGGACCTATGGATACACAAGTATTTTCCTGAAAGCTAGTTTCTTTGAAATATGAGTTATCTTGACTAGAGTTATCTGAATCAAAGAGTTCAACAGAATTGACAGAGTTTGGTTTACTGTTTATGTCAGCCTTCTTAGCAGCCATATCACCATCTTCATTTAATTTAACTAGCGGTTCTGCATCTGCTTCATCTTCCCTACAAGGTATGGCCAATTCTTCTCCTTCCACTGCTATAGGTTTGTTTTGCATTTCATTTTGTCCTACAGCATACTGTCCTGAAAAAAGAGCTACTTGGCTTAAAGTCAGAATACTAAGGAATTCACTGTCTGTTGATAGGTCAAGAGTTGAATGTGTATCTAGTAGGCTTTCGGTTTTTGATTCATCTGTTTTTTGCGAACATGTTTTCAGATACTGACTCAGGAGCAGATGAGATTCACACTGAAAATATGATGGATTATGATTCTCTACCACACATTTTTTTAATCCCTTCTTCTTAGAAACCAAGGGAAAAGTACCAAGATGGTTATGTATTCTGCAACTAGCATTTCCTTCAGTATAAATTGTTTTGCTTTGTTGACACACAAGATGCTTCTTCTGGTTCCCTCTATCATCGTAGACAATACAACTGCTGTCAGGTGACTCACCCAGTACCTTATTTTTATTGCTGAAGGATTTGACACTTCCAACACTCGTTGCACAACCTGTTATAAAAGCATCAACTAAGCTACATTTTTTCCCAAAGTTTGCTGGGAAGTGATCTTTGGAATCGGCAAGCAAAACTGCATCATCTGCGGTCTGATGATCAAGAGTCCTGCAGTTTGCACTACAAAGGTTAAAAGTGTCATTGGTAAATGAAAGATAGAGTTCTCTCCATGGTTCCTCAGTAGCTAAAGAAGATTTATCTTCTTTAGTGTTCCTTGGAGCAGCTGGAAGAATGGGCGCACCAAAGAACATGTGAATTTGAGGTGTTCTGGACATTTTTGTTTCTTGCAGGTTTTTGATTATGGGGAAAACTTAGCTTAATGTAATATACACAATAGTTCATTTTATATGTAGTGCCTAAAACGTAATTTTTACTCATTCATAGCTTTTCCAATAATTCATTCAAGGATAGTACAGTTAATCTGTCATAAAATATCCAACAAACAAATTTCATCCACTGGCTTTGGGGAAATGCACAATATTAAATATTCATAAAAATACTCAAATTGGTTTCATCAACACACTATAAGCATGGAATTTATAGTCCTTTTAATGTTCTTGGAGTCTCATATTCTCTGTATTTAAAAATTAATTTTATGTTATACTTTATATTTTAAAAATCTCAGAGCACAAGAGGGTACAATAGGCATTCTACTCTTTTATTCTTTAATTTATTGTTGAAAGCTCCTGCTAAAATATTGAACCCTTTCACAGAATTATACTGACAAAAAACAAGGTGACATTTTTTAAAAGTATACACTATGATGTCTTGAAAATTTGCTTTTTTTTAAACATATGGTAAAATATCCAATTTTGTTCAATAGCACAGACACAGTGAAATGAAAACAAAGTCAAAGATGAAATTTTCCAAATGATATTTCTCTGTTGAAGTGAAATAGACTATTTTTCACATTACTGAAATCTTCATGCTTTGTGTTACATTACAAAGTGCAAAGAACCAATTTCTCGCATCAGGAATTTTTGAAAATTATGACAAAATGTACTTTGGTTGAGCTACGAAGACATCCACTTGAAGTCAGGAATCCAACGTCTCTGGTAGAAATTTCAGATGTTTGTTCTATTGCAAAGAATTGAAACACATACAAACAAAACATTAAGCATTTAATAACAACATTCAGTTTTCTTCTAAAATAGTTCAGAAGCACATCTCCTTCCCAATTTAGAACATGTTGAATGTAGATGCTGATCTGACCATTAGAGGTCACCATACCCTCGGAAACCTTCATGAGGCGTATATGCATATTTTCTATACTTAATCCAGTTGTAATGTTGCAGCAAATTACAGCATCATCCAGTCATGAGGAAGAACTTGATCATGTATCTCCAGTTTCAAGAGTGAAGTACCAAGCTTACATTTCCATTGTAAATCACTAAGATATAAATCCTCTTAAGGTAATTTGAATCATAATCATTATTTAAAGCAAAATTACCTGAACTTTGGGCATCAGAAACACATTTTTTATTCTGCTTTTATAAACTGCTTTTATAAACTATAAAAAGTAAAAAATGATTTACAGAAATGATGATATTTTATATATACATTACACAATTACAGAAAAGTAAAAACATTTTTAAGGATTTCCAGTAGGCCTTTCTCAAAACTACTTATATCCATTACATAAATGGGGAAAAACAGATGAATAAAGCAATATTGATACCTAGAATATTTTAATACTGGACAAGCTAGAAGAGAAAAGAACACAAGATGGCTTGTAGAGACCTACAGCTGCCGACAAGGACCACATGGAAGCAACACTGATCTGTTACAGGCCATCCTGGAGGACACTCTGCAACCGACCTCCCTTCTAGACAGGAAAAGCCAACAGGGAGTTTCTGTGCTGCAATTCATCAACAGTAACTCTCATCTTCACCTCTGTAGGGGCTCCCTTCTTCCAGAACAGTTTGCCCTCCCCACTCCAAGCAAGGATAGATCCCTGATTCCTAGTCGTCTAGAAGCTCCTAAAAAGTTGGTGGTCCAGTGAGACTTTGGGAATGGAGTGCTATTCAGCTGGGGATACCAGAAATATTATAGTCACTATAAACTGTATTTGTGTTGTTGTCTGTTAGTGTAATTGTTGCATTGGCTGAGGCTATTGCTTTTATATGCCACAACGAAGAGGTTTATAAATTCATGAATAAATACATATCTGCAGTATGTTCTACACTGTATTTTTCTTCTCATCTGTTCATAATTCCTCTTCCCATTTTTATTAGTCTTCAAGATGCAAGCTCTGCCTCAGGAATTTTTACTTAATTATTGCTCCATGTCAGTGTGCTTTAGGGATCAGGCCGATAAGCCCAGAATGTAATACGATTCTGGTTCAACAGCGCAGAGTACAAGGTATATTGATCCCATTTTGTAAAAGCAAAAAGAACAAACCAGCATTTGTAGATTAACAAAACCAAAATAAACCAAGGATGGAATTAATAGATGAGAATTCAAGGATCAAATAAAGAAAAAGTGAGAAACTCTAAGTCTGATGGAGAATTCCATATACAGTTGTGTATCAGTAATAGCCAAGCACAGATTAAAGGTTATGCTGTGTTTAACAAGATATGATGAAATTTTAGGCACTGATCTACTATCAGCAGGGTGGAATTTGCTATCTGTTGGAGAGTTCAAAAGTAACAGAGGAATGACAAGGGTAAATAATATTTCAGCCAAAAAATGTGAATTCCATCCCATCCTGGTTGTTCACAGATAATTACATTTAATAGTAAAAAGGGGATATTTTATTTAGATTCGGGTAAATTTGTAATGTTTTCAGAATCTCAGGATGCTCAGTTAGTATTTATTTGTTTGTTTATTTATTGGAACTGTGGGAAATCTTGAGACTGCACAGTAAAACACTCTTAGAAGATGACTTAAAGGGTAACATATATTAAGCAAAAAGACAACAAAATGTCATTTCCGCTCACAGAGTCTTGTTTTCTGGGAGCTATCCCTGAACCTCCAGACCCACCTCTGGCCTGACCTGCTGTTTCAACACTTTTTCTGATATGTTGTCCTAGTAAGGGAAGAATATGGGCCCTGCAATGGGTCTGCACCTACAGGGTGGAATCCTCCTGGCTGGGGACAAGCCCCCACTGGATGGCATGGAAGTTGTTTATGAGCTGTCATGTATGGACGCTGCCTATATTCCAGATAGCATTTATCTTCAACCCATGTGAAGAAACAGGATGCCTGAGTTACAGTGGTGGTTGTAGGTTCTTGTCTTCAACATGAAGAACAACATCATTTTAAAGTTTCTATTGTTAGGCTTGAAGGATGGATCGAATATAATTTCTCAGATTTAGCACAAATTTATCTCAAGAAAGACCATCACTAACCCAAGAACAATGTTCAATGTTAAATAATCTACCTTGACTACAGAATTTCAATAACTCCGACTACCTAGATGCGCCTCTTCTGTTCAGTACATTCATTAGAAAGAAAAGAAAGAAAAAGAAAGTAGTGTTTGGTCCACTGCCAACTCTGGAACTTCAAAAGAGCTTTGAAGATTATGATGGTTAACATCAACTATATCTGAAGTTTGGGGATATCATTCACCGGCATTTGTTTATTGAAATATAATTATGCCCTGGACCCTGTTCAAGAGGAAGATCCATCTAAAGCTTAAGGTGTTAGAGAAGTTGGTTGTTATTTATTTTTCATTCATAAATGGGGCAGCAGGAAATTCAGAAACAGAAATAACTGAACTCCCTGGCAAATTCAAACTATTCCAATTATTTATATCCCCCATTCAAAATACAGGCCTCTTGAAGCTGGCTTACAAGTACCACCAATAATTAATAAAGCCACTCTATGAATAATATTAAAACAAATAAAAAATGTGACCAGCATCTTTCCCAGGAGACAGAGATGCCAGACCAGGTGCAGCCATTCTGAAGTTAACTTCCCTTTCCTTCCCCTGGTTTAAAATCAGAATTTTGGAAGAATATAATTTATTTTCATTCATCTAAATTTCCTTTGCTAAAATGCTCTCCCAACAACTGGGTGACCTCCTGATTACTTTCATTTAAACTGCAACTTTTTTCTTGAAAAACCTGAAATTAATCTCGGTCTTCGATAAGGGTCATACTGACAGCTCATGTTCTACTCAAGGTCTCAGTGTCCCTTTGTTGGCTGTTTTGTTCATAAAGCTGATGGTGGTGCAGAACGTGCCAAAACTCCTATCCCAGTCAATACCTACTGCTTCATCCAGATTGGGAGAGGGAAAATCTTCTTGTACCTAATTCCAAGCAGCGGTTGTCTGCAAAAAGCAGACAAACCAGAACAATGTTGGGTGAACCAGGCCACAGTTAAAGTCATAAGGAGAGACCACAGTTGGGGTCCTTGTGGCCAGACATGATGAAAAAAGGGGTAAAAGTAGGAGGCCTGCTTGGGCTTGTTCCCACAGTGCAGTGTTGTCCAAACTTGGCCACTTTAAGATGAGTGGACCTCAACTCCCAGAATTCCCCAGCCCCCCCCCCTCGGTGGGGGGGTCTTGGGGGGTGGGGGTACCCCTAATTAAAGTGGGGAAATTTTGAAAAAACTGCCTTTGGGGAAAAA